CATAGCTCTAAGTTCTAGATAGTAATGCTTTCAGATAGAAAAAGCAAAACCCTATCCAGTAACAGTTTAGACAAATAAGGTTAACAGATAAAAATTTTACTTTCTTCCACATGTGAAACCCAGAAGAAGACAATCTAGAACTGGTATAGCCACTTAAAAATATTAAGGAAACAGGGGCTGGGGTTGTGGCTCAGTGAGAGAGTGCTTGCCTAGCATGTTTGAGGCACTAGGTTTGATTTTCAGCACTGAATATAAAAAAACTAAAAAAAAAAAAAAAATTAAGGAAACCGGTACCTTCAATCTTCCTAAATCATCATACTTTCTCACTCATATTCACAGTACTAAATCTCCTGGCACTGAATCTGCTTTCTAAGCCAAAAGAAGTGAAAAGAGTTTTTTTTTTTTTTTAAACATGTTTTATCATTAACATTTATTGATAGGATGGATAAAAACAGATTGAAAAACATACTTGACAATAAGATACCAAACTGATAGCCAGCTATAAGATGTATACAACATACTTCTTTAAAATTTAAAGAAAAGTTTTTTGACTTTTTTACAAAGAGCCCTTATACTAATGATCACTAACATCCTACCATTCACATAATAGCAATAGAGATCCCCAGAATTGAATCCAAAACTGAGGTCCCCTACAGAGAACAGAGACAAGAGCAGAATAATATGCTGAGAAGAACTCTTAAGAGCAATAGAGACAACATGCTCACCATAAAATTGTACCTGAGTGACATAAATTGATAGACTTGTTTTTGTTTTCTTTTTCCTTTTGGTCAGAACAGCCTCTTCTTCTTTCAAAAGTTTTTTCTTTCCTCCCAGAATGTTCTCCCCAAAACCTCTGACCTAAATATTTTTTTTCTTTTAATTAATTTTTTATTTATATATGACAACAGAATGCATTACAATTCTTATTACACATATAGAGCACAATTTTTCATATCTGGTTGTATACAAAGTATATTCACACCAATTTATGTCTTCATACATGTACTTTGGATAATAATGTCCATCACATTCCACCATTATTTTCTAATCCCATGCCCCCTCCCTTCCCACCCCCTGCCCTATCTTAGAGTTCGTCTATTCCTCCCATGCTCCCCCTCCCTACCCCACTATGAATCAGCCTCCTTATATTAGAGAAAACATTCGGCATTTGGGTTTTTTAGGATTGGCTAACTTCACTTAGCATTATCTTCTCTGACTCCATCCATTTACCTGCAAATGCCATGATTTTATTCTCTTTTATTGCTGAATAATATTCCACTGTGTATATATGCCACAATTTTTTATCCACTCATCTATTGAAGGGCATCTAGGTTGGTTCCACAGTTTAGCTATTGTGAATTGTGCTGCTATAAACATTGATATGGCTGTGCTCTGACCTAAATCTTATTGGCCAAAGCCGTGTCATGTGGCCAACCCTGACTGCAATGGATTTTAGGAAGGGAAGTACAATTATATTGTTTACTGACTTTCATATAGAGCAATCTAAATAAGAAGATGGTTGGAAACACATGTTGAATGAGCCAAACTGTAGCATCTGCCACACAGACAGATTTATAAACAGCTCATTCCAATGCACATGACAAATGTTACAAGATTCTTCAGAAGCACAGCATGGTTTGGGAGCTAGTGAAATTTGGGATGACATTTGATAATCAGATGGACAAAAGTATTTCAGTCAGAAAAAAATATATAACAGGGTCAAATAGGTACGAAAAAGAAAAATTGACTCCTGAGGAATTTTGAGTTGGCGGTTATAGTCTAGCATATGTGAGAGTAGAAGAGGTTAGAAAGATTGCCAAGAAGTATGGCAAGAAGGTTCAGAGGTAGGATGTTTGTCCAGCATGCATGAGGCCCTGGGTTCAATCCCCAATACATAATGTATGTTGATTCTAAAGCATTTGGCCCTCATCCAAAATATAACAGAACCTGGAGCTCAGGCTGGACTTTTTCTCAGCAATCTTGGCTCATGCAGAAACCAGGTTTTGCCTGGGCTCCCAGTCCACAAGTCTTCAACTCCACTACTCTGATCTTGATGTCACCTACTTCTTCCTCACAGCAACCCTGAATTTAGCTCTTTTCTGCTTGTAAAACTGTACACTGGAAGCTTTCTCGTTTCCATTGCTGCAATGTTTAACTCAATTTGTATGAGAGCCACATCAATTCTCAGAATGAGCCCATCTATTTATCTCAACAAGCTCTGGATTCCCCAATCTGTGTGACAGAGCTAATTGCACTATAATGTACAAATTAAATAGATATATCCACTATTTTGCTCTTCCATGCATTACTATTCTCATATCTGAAGGCATTTTCTACCCAGTAAACCATTTGGGACCCCACCCATCTCACAGTGATGTATGGCAAAAGAAGGTGAAGAAAGTGGAACTCTCGTTAATTATTAACAGAAATGTAAAATGGTTCAGCTGAGGAAAAATTCAGCAGTTCCTCAAAAGGTCATATGTAGGATTAATATATGATTCAGCACTTTCATTTTTAGGTATATATCCAAAAGAACTGGAAATTGTTACTCAAATCTACATATTCATAGTACTGTTCACAATAGTCAAAAAGTAGAAATAGCTCAAATATTCATCAATAGGTGAACAGATAAACTGTGGTATATACGTAAAATGGATATTACTATGCCATGAAAAGAAATAAAATCCTAGTAAACACACTATAATAGAAATGAACAGCAAAAACATTATGCTAAGTACAAGACAACGTCATTAAAGTCAAAGAATCCAGACACAAAAAGGTCTAGTTTTTGAACTAGAGGTGACAATTGTACAGAATTATAAAAGCCATGAAATTGTTTACTTTAAAGTGGTTAATTTTGTTATGTAGACCAAAATGTAATCAGTAAAGATCACTTTCCTGCTTTGAAAGTATTGGAAAGCCTTTATTTTCCCCATTAGAATAGTAAATGGTATAAATAAGAACAAAACCAAATCTTCATTCTTTGTAGGGGAATATCCAACCAATTTTTTTTTCTTATCTGTTTTTCTGTTCACCTTTTAAGATTTTCCCCATCATTAAATATCCATTAATCAAGAGGGGCAGAGGAGTGGACAGTAAATGGGAAAAAAAAATTGTAACCTCATAAACACTTCTAGCACAAAGAAATATATTCCTGAAATGTAGGCATGGGATTAAGAATCCGTAAAATGGAGCAGGATGCAGTGGCATACACCTGTAATCTCAGCAGCTCAGCAGGCCGAGGCAAGAGGATCACAAGTTCAAAGCCACCTTCAGCAACTTAGGGAAGGCCTAAGCAACTCAGTGAGACCCTATATCAAAATAAAATTTAAAATAGAGTGGGGATGTGGCTCAATGGTTGAGTGCCCTTGAGTTCAATCCCTGGTATCAAAAAAAAAAAAAAAACAGTAAAATGGAATTATGGAATTTACAGGAGTCTTAGCTTCATCTATCCAAGCAATTTCATTGTTTTAGCAAAAATCAAAAGAATGCTACTGGCTAGGTGTGGTGGCGGACACCTGTAATCCCAGCAGTTCGGGAGGCTGAGGCAGGAGGACTGCAAGTTCAAAGCCAGCCTCAGCAAAAGCAAGGCTTTAAGCAACTCAGTGAGACAAAAAATAGCTGGGTGTGGGGTGGCGTTGTGGCTGAGTGGCAGAGCACTTGCCTAGTATGTGTGAGGCACTGGGTTCGATTCTCAGAACCACATATAAATAAAGATCCATTGACAACTAAAATATATTTTTAAAAAATGGCTGGGGATGTGGCTCAGTGGTTGAATGCCCCTGAGTTTAATCCCTGGTACCAAAAAACAAACAACAACAACAACAAAAAAGAACCTGTTACTAGACTATATATTTTTCTCAGAACTCTTGGGCTGATTTTAGGCAAACTACAAGTTCCACATGTTTGATACTCAGAATTCTTTGCACATTTTTAGCCATGTGTGTTAGTCTCCTAAGATTGCGTAACAAAGTACCATACACTTGGAGGCTTAATGGTCAAAGTTTATTTTCTCACAGTTCTGAAGACCAGGAGTCTGAAATTGAAGTGCTAGGTAGGCCATGTTCCTTCTGCAGGCTCTAGGGAAGAATCCTTTCCCTCTTGCATACTCTGGAGATCTTAGTCAGTCCTTGCTTTGTGGCAGCATAGTTGCAACTTCTGCCCCCATTTCATATGACCTTGTTCACTGGGTCTTCTCTTAAGGACCTCAGCATTGGATTTAGAGCCCACTCTAAATCCAGAATGATTTCTACCCAAGATCCTTAACTAATTGCATCTACACAGACTGTTTCCAAATAAGGTTATATTCTGACATTCCAGGTAGACATAAATCTGAGAGGGCTACTATTCATTTTTTTATACTATGTAAGCAGCAGCATATTTCTTTTAGACCCAGTAAGTTTAAAAAAAAAAAAAACTTCCAAATTCAAATTTAGCTTGATAAAATTAGAATAATTTCATCTCTGGGGAAAATTTTTTAAAATAAACTTTGAATCTTCAAAAGAAAACTAAATCAAATAAAAATTAAATGAGTCCTCCTTTTACTTACTGAAACTGATGTAAATAAAACTACCTTTTGATATAAACAAATGATAAATCAGTGCTATGTCATTTATAATTTAAAATTTTTAAAAATAACTTCAGCTTTCTCATAATATTGACAATTCAATAGATCCTCTCCTGTAATTCAAGAAACCCTAATATATATATATATATATATATATATATATATATATATATATAATTTTTTTTTTAATTCACAAGCCTATTTATTTATTTATAGCACTGGCGATCAATCTCAGGGATGTGTACATGCTCTACCACTGAGCTACATCTCCAACCCAACCACATTATTATTTACTTATTTATTTTTATTTTTGCAGTACTAGGGATTGAACCTAGGGGCATTCTACCACTGAACTACTACCCCAGACCTTTGTATTTTATTTTGAGAAAGGATCTCCACTCAAAATAGTACAAAATGACAATGTACCTGTAAATAATTTCAAATGAATGATATTATATAATTATTTAATGTTCAGGTAATTTTCTACATAAAGTTCCACAAATTAGGCAATATTGGTTGGCTGTACATTTTTCAAACTATATGAACATATCCCACTTCATGTATTTTAATACCAGTGGCATTTTTCTACATTAAAATCAATTCCATTATAAATTTGCAGGAATTCTTTCTAAGGTACTAAGATTTCATATGAAAAAGAAGTTATTTTTAAAATTTTTGATATTAAAACAGTAAGTGTGAACCCAATGTAGAAATCTCAAGTTAGACCATTCCTTTGGCAAAAACATTTAGTTATAAATGTCTTAAAATAAATATAATCCATAAAATTATGGAAAGAAAAGAACAACCTTGCCATTCTTATTAATAGTAAGAGTCAGGTCAATTCAAATTTAACATAATTTTTATACTATCAACCTGCAACACAAAACTCCTTATAATGGCAAAAATAAAATTATTTTTAAGAGGAATAAATTTTTACATATATAAATGTTCACAGATTAATGCCAATATACACCATTTATATACATGTCATATATTTTATTATTCCAAAACTACATTAGCTGAATTGGTCAATTCCAATTTAGTGGGTGTGCAGTATTTATACTGGCTCAAAGGCTTATGATGAACTAAACTTTTCCAATTTGACACAATTAAATATAGTATATTTACACAAACATTAAAATTAATTTATTAAATACAGTTTGGAAGAAAAATGTAAAATTTTTTCTCTATATATATGCAAATACTAACTTGAATTACCAAAAGCAGCTTTGGATGTTTTTTACATTTTGTTTTCTTTCTTAAAGAACAAATAATTTGTTTCTAAAAAGTAAGGTGCCATTTTAGGGGCTGGGGTTATGGCTCACTGGTACAGCACTCGCCTAGCATGTGTGAGGTACTGGGTTTGATCCTCAGCACTACATAAAAAAATAAATAAACAAAATAAAGATATTGTATCCATCTACAACTAAAAAAAGCAATTAAAAAAAAGGAAGGTGCCATTTTAGAATATTTTTTATAAGTATATAGCTGAATTTATGTGAAAGGAAAATACTAAATGAAAAAGTAAAAATGGTGTGGAAGGTTAAAACTTTCTTTTGATACCTGATTAGAAATAATACAACAAAAACTAAGTTTTCAAATACTGCTTGTTTTCCTTTTAAAATGTAGACCAAGTATTATATACAGTATTTTGTTCTGGAACAAAGTATCTTCGAAAAAGGTACATCCTTACAATAAAATTACTGTAAATAGATAAATGACAAAATTTGTAGTCTGTTTTCAAATGGATTCTTAGTAGAAAGATTATTTTCTTTAAAAAACCAATATAGAAATCTAGAATCCATGCAAAAAAGTTTTAACTTTTTAAATATTCAACTTATGTCCATTATTTTTCCCAGTCTAAATATCATTTATCTATAAGTATATGCATTTTCAATATTATACTATGTAAAAAGTTGGTAGATAATAAAGTAGTGTGCAAATTTTGAAGAGAGAAAAAAATCCTTATTGGTTTTCTACCAACTTCTACAGTATGTGGAATCTATTAGCTATAAACTAATTTTTAAAACATGGGCTTCAGAAAAACTGACTGAACTGTCTATCAATCCACTGTTCTATCAAATCATCACCTGCTATTATTCCAAAGGTTCAGAATTACTTGTGAAAGTAAAGATGATATTTTTCAATAGCTTGGCACGATGACATCTTAGCAGTGGTATTTGAATCACTTCTTTTACAATAACAAGACTTCAATAAAAACTCACTTATCATACATGCTTGGTTTATATCACATCAAATTATTAGGTATGTCTCATGGCTCAAAGTCAGGTATAATCCATAAAAAAGAAACGCAGAATCTCTGCATATCACAACACAGGAAGTAAAATAAATGGATCATATTGCATTAGACAATGACCAAAGTGATTTGATAAGGTCATTAGTGACAATTTTAAATATAATGATGCTTGTAGAGAAGAAAATGTTTTTCCTCAGGGAATGGAAATTCTTTAGCCCACTATGGGCATGAGCAGGGAAATGGCTAAGTGCTTTCTCACACATCTGCATTTACATGGTTTTTGCTATTAATAACAGAAAACATTTTTGTTCCTTCCAAATCGCTCTTGTTTCTGTAGACAATTATATGCTAATTATTACTCAACATAACACTGAGAGCAAAACTGACAGTACTGCAAACACAACTGCAATTTAAGGAGCCAAAAGGAAGCATGTTGGCAAACGAAATGCTCATACAAAAAAAGATGTTCCCTCGCCTTTTAATACAACAGTGTGTGGGAAATGGTAAAAAAAAAAAAAAAAAAAAATGCAGACAAAAAATATTTAAAGGTCTTCAATTCTCTCACTAAGACATTTTGCGGATAAACAATGGTAACAATGGTTTCTTTAAAGTAAAATTTTTACACTTTTATCTCATACTGCTTAGTGTCATAAAGCTACTTATTGGGTGTCCAGATTCACGGAAAGACATTTGAAAGTATGACAAAACTAACTGGGAGCATCTTTAAGCTGCCTCTGACTTCAAACAAACTGGTCTGAAAAAAACTTTTATGGCCTTTAGAGTAAGTTAGGTTTTGTGCTTTTATTTACTCATTGTCCTTTTGAGTTCAGAGGGAAAAAGTTTCCTTTTAATATTTTCAGATTAGAATCACAAGTGACACTTATGAAGGTTTCCACAAAAATGCTTGGTTTTTCTCTAAAGGAGAGGTTGCTGATGATAGTTTGTTTGCCGCTGTGCAACCGACTGAGCTGGGACTGCCATGGGAAAGCCTGCCAGATGCGGCATATTGGAAGTAGTGTTCTGGTAAGATGACATATCCACAGACATCCCCATCTGCTGTGAGTAAGCAGCTGTACCAGTAGCTGACTGAAGGTTAGAGTTCTGGTTCATATAAGGAGGACTGGAAATAGTGTCTTGTCCAGTGCTACAAACAAAATTTAAAGAAGAAAATCATATTTACTTTACATTATCTAGATTATGGTCAGGATCAATCATCATGACAAAAATTGACTTTTCAATCTTTATGTAGCTCTGCTGTTCTGGTTATAATTTAATCACTCCAACTACCAAATACTGTATATAATTTTTATATTTGGTAAGAAGAGAAGAGTGCTCAAAAAGCAAGATAATATAAAAGTATAAATCTTATTTAATTTGCTTTCTTGAAAATCTCTCACCAAAAACATTTAAAAACTGAGAAGATGCTGTTCTGACTGTGGCCAACTCCAATGAGGACAGAGTTGGTTCAATGTATATTTTCCAGCCCATATTCTCCCTTCCCCATTTTCCAACACAGCACTGGGACTATTTCACTAGGTGGATTATAGTACAGTGCTAAAGCACAACAAAGGCTTAGTCCTCACAAAGGACAGTTAGCTTTATTTTGTTCTAGGTAACTAAACTGTAGGCTTATATCTAGGCAACCATCACAGTATGAGTAGCAAAGTTAAGGGTAGCACCATTTCAGTTCATGGGACTATGAATGGGCATTTCTATATAATTTTATGTGTGTGCGTGTATGGTACTAGGGATTGAACCTAGGAGAGCACTATCATTGAGCTATATCCTCAGCCCGTTTTGATACAGGGTCTCCTTAAGTTGCCCAGGCTGGCCTTGAACTTGTGATCCTCCTGACTCAGCCTCCCAACTAGCTGGGATTACAGTATGCACCACCACACCCACATTATGATTTCATTTTAAAAGTAAAAATTGGAACTATTATTACAAAGTGTAGGGTCAGTATATTCTGATTTAAAAAGTCTGTGGAAAATTAAGATGGCTCTCAAAACTTACCTTAAATATGGAGTTTGAGCAGGCTGTGTTGTTACTGAGGAATTTACACTTGGAGGCAGAGATCTCAGCGAACCAATATGATCTGTTCCCAGGCTGTAGTTTTGGGCAACAGTTACATGGTGAATGTTTTGACCTACGTAGTTTCCACCATGTGATTGAACTGGATACGTCTATTAACCAAAAAGAAAAAGTTGACTTCACTGCTATCCCAAACATCTCCTTCACACACTCTTTTTTACATACTAGTTTTCATAAATTAACATAAAATTTGTTCATTCAAGATCATTTTGATTGGTTAACTAGCTAAAATTTGAAAAAGCCTTCAGAATGGGGATACTGACATAAGTATTCATGTTATCTGGCAAGCACAAAAAAGAGTGAGAAGTATTGCAAAAAGATGCTGTTTACAGACAGCTTATGGCACCTACATCTCATAGACCTGTATCATATTTTTATTATGCATGAATTTTTTAACAATTTAAGTCATGCACTAACAAAAAATAAATATGTTCTGAGACCAAAAGTTCATTAACTAAGTGCTGTTATAATTATACGTCAAAGAAATCTTGAAAAAAGATTTTTAAAGAAATGTTCAATCTTCTTGCTGAATAGCAACAACAGCACTAGTACCTCACGCAGAGAACCTTTGGTACACCAGATCCTAAATCAAAGGATGTGTAGTTTATACTTACAAAGGATTTATATTTAAAGATTTTTATGTTTTATTCTTACAAAAGCACATGAAGAACCAGAATACCCCCTATATATTTAATACTGTTTTCATTCATGATAAAATTGAACTAAGTGTTTTTGTGACATTATCAGTAACTAATTTGTCCTGGTGAACATTAATGTTCAGCCAATATTTCTAGAAACAAAGACTGGTTTTATAATTTTATTCAGGGACCACAGAAATTTCAATATTTCAAAACATTTTTTTAAATTCAAAACTATGTTCTCAGAAAACATGCTCACCTGCACTGATGTAGATGGATAATGTGCTGGAGGATGGAGTTTTGAATAGACTGAATATACTGGTGCTTCATTCACCAATTTGTTATATAGTTCCAGAGCTTCCAGGACTTTTACATTCAATTCAGACAATTCTGAATGCTTCCTGATACAGAAGAGAAAAGCATTTTCATACTCTTCTCATTTTAGGTATATATTTAGCAATGTAAATTATTTTTTAAATTTAGCACACTCTTTATTCATATTTTAAAAGGTTCTTTTCATATACAATGAAAGAATATTCACAATGAGAAACCGGGAAGAAAAATTATTTAATTCTTATAGTAGCCAGGCTAATATAACTTCATAATATCCTTTCCACATATCATAAAATGCAATCAATTCATAATTCTGGTACTAGAAGAATTTAGTTTAATATATTACAGGTTTATGTTGAAAATTTAATTATAAAGAAAAAGTTCCTGAGTGGAGGGAATTATAAAGACCCACAGCCCCTGTGAAGTACAATATGACTAAAAGGAGAGCAAACTCTTATTTAAAAAATAAAAATCACCTTTTATTTGCTTATATGGTAAAAAGATCAACTGAAAAAAATATTTAAATAAAAAATTACTCTTGAAAATACAAATAAAAGCAATGTATATGCATGGAGATCTCTACTGTTCTTATCTATTGGTTGATTTTGAGAAATTAGGTGAAACCAGGCACCTTATTGTGAAATAACAAATCCAAATAAGAGCATTTTCACATTTGTTCAAGGAACTCCACAGCAAATCCTTCCCTTCTGACTTGGTACAATTTTGTCTGTTCCCTTGGGAATAATAAACAACTTTTTTTTTTTTGCAATTTCCAAGTTTAAGTCAAATGGCCACTTTTTATCTGGCTTAAAGCATCCAAAAGCCTGTTTATTGGATGTGGTTCTTTCAATGTAACCGAAAAAGGTAGGAGGCACAGGCAGGCAAAAAGATACAGAGTAACCAAGTAAATGATCTGTCTGTGCTCTATCAAAATTTATAAGCCCTTTCCTTTATAATACTATTTACCTCTGAACAACAAAAACAGAAAGTGCTTGTTTCCTGTTGCATGAATGTATAAAAACTACTTTCAGATGTATCTGTGACAAACCACCTAAATCTACAGAAATTAAGTGTGTATGAAATCACCTTTAAAGATCTGAGATATATAACTTCGAATCAATAACAAATTTTTACTAAACTATACTCAAAACTATACTGAAAGAAAGAGAAAAAGCAGAAAATAAATCACAACCTATCAGGGAGACCAGGTTAAGAAAATAGCAAATGACATAACATATAACTGAATGCAAAATTACACGAAATAGGTAGAAAACAGAAGAATTTAGAAGAGATTATTCTGGGCTACGGTAGACCAAAAAGGCTTTATGGTAAAGCTGGGACTAAAGATAGCCCCTGAGGAAGGATGGACAGACCAAACTGAAATACTAGTGAATAAAGGCAGACAAAAGTAACACATGGAATACACAGGAAAAGAATGAAGAAGCATCTAGATCAGGGCTACAGAAATTACTTCAGAAGTATAGTACAAGTTTAGAACAGTTCAGATAATAGATATCTCTTACCTATCTAAACATTTTTGGAGTTGTTGTCATGTTTATCCAAAATTCTCTCTTAAGGTGATGTGAATTATTTTTAGGCTCCAGAAAAGTTTGTAACTGTACTGCTAGTCATACCTACTTCATGCTGACCATTTTTCTTTTAAATCTTTTCCAATTTGATTATACACTAAACATTAACTCCTTGCAGTGAAACAAAGCAATACATATTTACTGCTTTCTCTAAAAATATGATGAAACTGTCACCATCATGTCATTAACTGTCACAGGGATTTATTTTTAACTTTTGTAGAAAACACAAAAGATTTATGAAAAATGCTCCATGGAACAAAGATTATAATTTTTAGTGACTGGAAAGCCTTGCTGAAGGTACTTCTCTGTAGAGACAGGAAAAAAGTAAAGTACTTTCTGTTCTCCTTCACACTTTGGTCCCACTTGATCCCTTTCTTCTTGTGTTGTTTACATAGCATTTCAATAAAGAGGGGCTAAGGCTAGAGATATAATTCAGCAGCAGCCCGTTCACTTAGCTTGTGTAGGGCTAGAAAGGATGACAATAGAATAAGAAGGTCTAATCTCCTGCCTTTCCTCTACTATAGCTTCTTCCTCTAACTTCAGAGAGAAAACTCGGAAGAATAACAGATATCAGAACCAAGTTAAAAGCTTACAACTCTGATAGCCCATCCTCCAGTGCTGCTGCTATTTCTAGGAACAGTAAAACTAGCTGGGATAACAAAATTAGAAGGACAACAGAAACACAGGAACATAGGAAGAGAAAAAGAAGAAAAAAATTGTTGCTTTGGATTAGCTTCCCAAATCAGGAAAATTTCACTTGAAACTACGTTTCACATAATGATATTAATGATATTTGCCTAAGATTCCTGTTCATCTTGTTCTTTATTCACTTTATTCTTCATTGCTCAATATCCCCTCAATTCCAGCCCAAGTAAAAAAATGGAATGATAAGAACAAGAGTCCAGGATTTTATGTATACTATTCATACTGCCATGAAAAAAACTGTTACCAAAATGAAAAGCACCTCCTTGCTATTAGCTTCTGGAGTCTATAAAATAATTGCAACAGATAATACAGTTTGCCCAAAACTATCACTAGTTCTAAGCGTGCCCAAACAAGTAAACCTATAAAAACTCTACTTATCATTGTTTGCATGAAAAATCTCACCTATCAATCTCTTCAAGTTTTTCATCTATCATTGGACCCATCTGTTGACAGATATCTGTAAATACAAAAATGCTTAAAACTGTAAGAATTTCAGTTTAAGCCAATTTCAACAATTTTTAAAAATACAACACCATCCATAATACACTGAGAATTAACTTTTTGCTAGAAAAGGGACTATAAAAGATTGACTGTTAATACTATTCAGCACCATTGCTATTACATATTTCTATCATGTAATCAAAGGCAAGATCAAAATTAAAATAAAAATCTCATCATGTTCCTATTAACTAAGTTTACAGACTATGACATTTGAAATCATCCCCAAAAGTTATCTAGAAAACAAATTAACTACATAAAACAAACTTAAGCTATAATATAAAATATGTAACTACCATGTGCAGATTAAATATGAACACTTTTATTTAAGGCATTTCAAAATTTAAAAATTTTATATATTTCCAAATCTAAACACAGATAAAATATTCTATACCCATAATCAGTTTTTCATCTATAAAAAGATTTAAGATTTATTCATTTATTATAGACATTTTTCTCACAAAAGACTTTAGAAAAGCATGAAAAAAAATTTGTTTTAATTGCTTTACTTACAAACTAAAGGACACATTAGCATGCATCAAATATCTACCTTTCAAAGTTAACATTGAACATGCACATGTGGACCTTTAGAGTCACCTTTAAATTAAGACTTTTAAACTTTTTGGTTAAATTAATTTAATAGGCTTTTATTTCTAATTCTGTCCTTTGGACACCAAAACTCCAATTTCACCAATGGGCTTACAGAAATACCAAGATCTCCTTCTTAAAAAGGATATGAAGGAACAGCAACATCTTTCAAATGATACTTTTACTATTTTACTGCACTAGTCTGTTCTCCACCTTGGATTTCTAATCTCAAGGCAGAAGAAACTCATAATATTATGAGTAGCTAAAATAATAAACATTATTAAAGTAATCTCAATATTCACTAAGTACCTTCCAAATCCAAAAGGTCTTGGGAATCTGGTTTTGAATCTGCTGGATCTATACTTTGGAGTACCTGCAGGGCTCTATCCATCTTATCCTAATAAAAAGTCAAAGAAGTTTTAACTTCAGTGAATACAAAATTACTCTTCCCAAGCAATCTCAAAGATAATACAATTGAAAAGTCTTGACAGTTTAACTATTAAAACAAAAGAAGGACTCTACCTCATCAATATAAATAGGCTCGGGCTCTGATTTCTTAATTTCCTCCACATCATCATCAATTACATTCAATTTGTCCACAGCTGCAATGGAAACAAAGTAAACTTTAAGTTCTATAGCATTTACTTTGATATCTAGTCATTAATTTAGAAGTGGCCTATGATATCCATAAGAAAAAAATTAAAAATTCTTTAGTTATCCCATTTCATAATGTTATTACTTATGTTTATATCATAATGTGATTATATACATTCATATTATAAATATTAATTTAGCACTTATTATGTGCCAAGCATCACTTTAGGCATTTATACATAGTAGATAAAATAGACAAGAATCCTGTACTTATGGAACTTACATTAAGGGAAGCAAATGAGCATTATTAGTGTGTGTTTTCCTAAAAACTGAGTGTTACCAATGGGGTAACTAAATAAACAAGAGAGTAGATTATTATCCTAATACTTAATTTCATAGTTACATCTATAGTCCCCCTCTATCAAAGAAAAACTGTTTTTCCCTATATAAACAAAACAAGACCTGATTTTAACCTAATTTTGATACTCTGATAATAGTTGAAACAACACAAAATGAAAAAATATTTTTTGTGTGTGTGGTGCTAGGTTCCAACCCCAGGGCCTTGTGCATACTAGGTCAGCACTTTACCACTAAACTGCATTCCCAGTTCAACAAAATATTCTTTCATAAAAAGACAGATAAAAGATAATTTACAAGCCAGGCATGGTGGTGCATGCTTGTAATCACAGCAACTAGGGAGACTGAGGCAGGAGGATTGCAAGGCCCTGTTTTAAAAAAGTTTTTAAAAAAGGCCAGGAGTGCTGGGGTTGTGGCTCAGAGGTAGAGCGCTCACCTAGCATGTGTGAGGCACTAGGTTTGATCCTTAGCACCACATAAAAAAATTAAATATTATATCCACCTATGACTAAAAAATAAATATTTTTTTAAAAAAGGGGGGCCAGGAACACCACTGCGCCCGCCTATAATCCCAATGGCTCAGGAGGCTGAGGCAGGAGGATCGCAAGTTCAAAACCAGCCTCAGCAATGGTGAGGTGCTAAGCAACTTCAAGAGACTCTACCTCTAAATAAAATACAGAATCAGGCTTGGGATGTGGCTCAGTGGTTGAGTGCCCCCAAGTTCAATCCCTGGTACCCAAAAGTAGTAAACAGACAGATAAATTTAAAAATAATAAATATTTTTAAAAAGATAAAAAGGGTCAGGGACTTAGCTCAGTGGTAAAGTGCCCCTGAATTCAATTGGAAGGAGGGAAGGAAGGAAGGAAGTTGCCAGAATATTCTAAATTTTAATAAAACAAAAAATTACAACAAAAATCTGTATAACCAACTGGGCATGGTGGCACAGGCCTATAATCCCAGCTACTCAGAAGACTGTTGGGGCCAGTCTGGGCAACTTAGTGAAACCCTGTCTCAAAATAAAATAGGGCTGGAGTTGTGGCTCAGTGGTAGAGTGCTTGCCTGGTATGTGTGAGGCCCTGGGTTCGATCCTTAGCACTACATAAAAATAAATAGATAAATATATAGATAGATAAAAGATCCATTGACAACTAAAAAATATTTTAAAAAAATATAATAAAAGGACTGGAGATGTAGCTCAGTGAAGAGCATTTGTCCAGCATGTATAAAGTTCTGGCTTCAATCCCCAGTACCACACAAACACAAACAAAAAATGTGTGTAACCAAAGGATTTTAAAATCTTAATTAATGGTTATTGCTTAATTCAAGTATCTGGCAAACTTTCAATTATGTCCTAAAGAACAGAGCTCAGCATAACACAAGGACATACTGAAAACCAAGAATGTGTTTTACTTTCAAGATTGTAGTTCAATCTCTCCAGATCATGATAAGGGAAAATCACTATATAGGATCCCTTAAGTATTGTTTAATTAAAAAATGTCCTCAAATCCAACTACTATGTATAACTATAAAGATCTAATTTAAAAAAATGTTCAATATTCCTGTTTACTAAAAAGAGTCAGACTAGAAGAATAAAACAGTAACTAGTGGCAAAGAACACAGTCTTCAAATGAATGAGTATCCACCTCTCAGAACTTGATTTTTCTGAATGCATCACTCTACACAAAAAGATAATAGTACACACAATGTACAAAGCTTTCATTTTAAGTTCTTTCTTTAGAACTGGTAAGGATAAGCAATGATATATCCCTTAGTAAGTCAAGTTTTGAATTCTGGCTCTATCAGTTATTAGACACGTTACACCTCTGCTTCAGATTCCTATCAGTAAACAGGGCAACAAACAATCTATCACCCAGAATCTTTAGAATTAAGTGAAACAGCACAAAAGATTTAGCACAATGTTGATAAAATAATTACTGTTCAAAATCTGTTAACTATTTTACTTCTAGGTATCACAATTAGCATTATTACGAGCTGTTCTGAATAACTGAGATCTCCTGCCTCCCTGCCTGTATAACAAATGGCATGCTTTCTCAACATGGCTGACAGTGGCTGAGGGGGACCAGTGTGTGGCTACAGAATGGAGTGGTGTTCAGAAGAACTGAACTGGGGAACTTCAGTGACTTCATTACATTACTTTATTCTTGCCTGAGTTTTCTAGGATCAAACTGAGGTGAGGTAAAGTCTAAAATCTAACTCTTGTAATCACACTTGGCTCTTGTCAACAAGGTATGCCCCCTTACGCCCCCAGTTATCCCTTTCACTATGTCTCAGTAAAGAATAACAACATTTTTTGTACAGGACAGACACCAAACTGCCTCTTATACTATAGGTTGATTTAAATATTTATGTACATGGTCACTAAATATATTAAGTCTCAGAGATTTAAAATATGAGAAGAGTCTAAATTAATCCCTAAAGAAGTAGGTTAAATTATAATGTCTATAAATAAATGACAGAAAACAAATTAGATGCCAATCAAAAAATTTAAGCAAAACAACTTTGTAGATTTAATCTTCTCTAAAATTTAACTTACCTGCCTCAGACTCCATGTTTAAATTAGTTGTTACAAAATTAGATGGGAAAAGACCTATTCCTCTGTGATTTTCTCCTTTCCACCAATTGGCATCACTGAAAATAAAATGAAAAAAAATGTCATTTTTCTTTAACATTTTCAAACTGTAATGTTGAGAGATTTAAAAAAAAATCAAATTTATCCTATTTTGAAAATCAATTCACATTCAGCTATACTTAAAAGTTGTTCTTTTTAAAAGATATTAAAAGGTACAAATAAAAAAAAATGTACATATCCTTATTTCTAAATTTAGAACTAATTAGCAATTGGCCATATATCATACTGGGCTTTTTAAAAAACATAAAACACAGATAACAATAAAGTTCTCTCTATCAGTGACCCTAAGTCCCAACCTCACATCCTTCTTACCACACCATCAACATAAAGCTGGTATGTAACTTCCCGACAGTCTATTTTTCATTCTTTTGCATATATTTACACTCAACTGACAAACATAGAAGACAGCTAGCTAATGCTTATAGATCTTTTTAATTTTATATACTAATACTTGCTTATCTATTTTAAAGTTTGACTATAAGAACATGCTGTATTTCTGTATAAATGCACATTTATTTGTTCCTAGTCTTTCAACATAAAGATTGGGGTCATGATTATCCTGAATTAGAGGGCACAATCCGACAGTTTTTCTAGGCTTACTGAAGCATGGATTTGCAAGCTGGGCACCTTTCATGCTCAACTACTGGAGAGGCAGAGGTGGAAGACAGCCTGAGCCCAGGAATTTGAGGCCAGCCTGAGCAACACAGTGAGACTGTATCTTTAAAACAAAATACAAAACAAAATGACAACAATGGACTTGCTGGGCCATGAGATATAAGCATTTTCAATTTTATTAGTCATTGTCAAATGTTCCCCATAGTAGTTGTGGAAGTTTACCTTCTTCCTCCCATTACTGTCCCCCCAATCCCATATATGGTAAATATTTAAGTTTACACTTGCTATCAGGAGAGAAAATCATATTCCATTGTACTTATTTCCACTTGTGTTTGGTGACTATTTGAGATGGCTTCTTCTGTAAAATGTTTTTATTTATATATTTTGTCCATTTTTCTTCTTCCACAGGGTTATCTTTTTTTCATGGATCTGTAAGGGTTCCTTACATATCCTGGATAGCAACTATTTCTCTGAATCAAGCTGATTTCTTCTCAAGGCTATCATTTCCTTTAAGTATATGTTTATGGTTCTTTATTCTATGGTGGGTTTTTTCCCCCTGTAATAAAATTTAGTAATCTACCCTTGAACCAATATCTAATAGTTTTAGTTTTTTATCTAATAGTTTTAGGCTTTTTTTAACCCTTTTCCCACCTTTATCTGAAACAAAATTTTACGTACTGTGTGAAGCTCAAATTTTATCTTCTTTGTACCAAAAGAAGAGTCATTCATTCCAGCAAAACTTACTGAATAGCCCATTACTTTTTTTCTACTAACTTATGATACAAAAACAGCATACTATCAAAATAGCTTTCTGTGCATGAGCCTATTTCTGTATTCCATTCTGTTGTATAACAGTCCACAAAGTAGTCCCTCCTTTATTTGCAGTGTTGGTCTGTGATTCCAGATTACTTGAGGTCAATCATGACCCAAAAATATTAGATGGAAAATTCCAGAAGCAGATAATTCATAGGTTTTTAAAATTCATAGGTTTTTCAGGTGCACCATCCTGCCCTGAAAAGTCAGCCATTCCTTTGTCTAGCATATCCACACTATATATGCTACCCTGATGTTAGAAACTTAGCAACTGTCTTGGTTATCAAATTGACTACTATGTTCCATAGTACATGTTCAAATAATCTTTATTTCATTAAATAATGGACCCAAAGCACAAGAATGGTACTGCTAGTACAATTCAAGTAAGTCGCAAAGAAGCATCCTTTAAGTGAAAAGTGGCTCTTTTTTTTTTTTTCCCCCAGTGCTGGAGACTAATTCATGCTAGGCAAGCACTGTACCATTGAGCTACATCACCAGCCAAAGTTCTTGACCTTCTAAGTAAGCAAAGGAAGAAAATTATATGCTGAGGTTGCTAAGATCTATAATACAATATGATATTTGGAGAGACCATATTCACATAATTTTTACTACTTTTATAACTTTGTTTTAATTGTTGTATTTTAGTATTGTTTTCAGTCTCTTACAATGCCTTATTTATAAGTTAAACTTTTTCGTAAGAATGTATGTATAGGAAAAAACACAGTATATACAAGGTTCAGTACCATCCTGTTTCAAGCATCCACTGAAGGAGGCTTGCAACATATCCCTCATAAGAGGGAACTACTATATATTTGTTTATTAAAGCCTATTAATACACCTTGATATCTGGCAAGGGAAATACTCTTGTTATTCTTTTTCATTTATTATACATCTTCACATGTTTATATCTATATTAAAATATTTTTCAAGGACTCTGGAAAAAATTTCTGTAGGAATTTTAACTGCATATGTACTAAACTTATGCAATAACATAAGAAAAACTAAATCTTTCTAATATTAAGGTTTACCATGTCTCTCTCCAATTGTACTTTTATAAATATAAACATAATAAAGAATACTTATATTCTTTTCTATCTTTCCAAGAATTTTATAATTTCTCCATAAAGACTTTACATATTTTTTAGGTTTATTCATTCCTAGTTCATTCATTTGATTTTTTTTTTTTTTTTTTACTATCGAGAATGACTTTTCTATTACATTTTCTAATTGGGATTAAAGCATATCACTGATTTTTGCATATTGAGGTTGTATCTAACAAACTTGATAAACTCTTACCAGTTTTAGGAAAGAGGAAGGAAAGGAAAGAAGGAAGGAAGGAAGGAGAAAACTTGACACTTTCCCATAAGCTACTGACTTTAATGAAAACAACTCAACCCATTGACTGAACTTTCTATTCAAAGTATCTGAAAATAACAATAATTTTGTCTAGTTCTTTCTAACAAAGAAATTTGTTATTTACAAATACCCAATACCTGTTTCTTACTAAACAGGTATTTGTAAGTAACAATCTTTTATTGTGTGTGTGGTTTTAGGAATCAAAACTTTGAGCTTTGCATTCTAAAAAGTAAAACTAAACTTAAGAGGATTTTAAAGATAAAACCAGACAATTCACACTTCTGAAATGGATACATGGGATTTATTTGAACCTATCAACAATTGTATGGACAGCCTTACCAGTAGTCGTAATAATGTATCACAACTTTCTTCCCAACTACTACCACAAACTCTCTGATGAGGCATAAAAGCACATAAAACAACCCAAAACCACCTCAAAGCATGATGATTCCTTTCCAATCTTTATCTGGCTCTATATTCTTTCCACTGACTACCAGTTTATTTTATAAAATGTTAATGGAACAAAATATTGTTCAAGTTTAAATTCCTAAATTAAAGTGATTCAGTACTATAATTTCATATAAATCATTAGATGATTAAGGAAATTTTCAAATGTGTCATTTACATTTGGAGCTTTCTGTATTAGGGAAGAATAAATCAAAACTAAGCAAAAAATAATGTAAGTATAAGGAATAAACTTTACGTTCAATTAATTGATTATTCAGTTAATATTAATGAAATTCTATCAAGGACTAAACAGTGCTTTCTGGCTAAGCAATGAAGTTGCAAAGATAATTAAAACATTATTTCTGCCCTCAAGAAATTTAAAATCCAGTGTTTCAACTTCTCCTACCAACTAAGAGTGTTATTTACTTTACTTTCTCCTGCTCCCTCCTCCCAGCCAAAGAAGGGGGTCACTTCTTCAATCAACTGATTAAGTAGGAGAGATATGTAAAAAACATACTTAAAATACAGTATGAGGAATATTGTTATATATGTTCAGAGAGCTACAGCAGCACAGAGAAGGAAACTCCTAACTCTACTGGAAGCTAAAAGTGGGAAGGATTTAAAGGTTTCTCAGAAAAGATAGTCTGACATGGGTAGGTTTTGAAGATTTAAGTAGTTACTCATCAAAAGGAAAAGAAAGCTGGACAAGGTAGCACACACCTGTAATCCCAACAGCTTTTGAGACTGAGGCAGGAGAATTCTGAGTTTAAATCCAGCTTCAGTAAAAGTGAAGTACTAAGCAACGCAGTGAGATTTTTGTCTCTAAATAAAATACAAAATAGGGCTGGGGACATGGCTTAGTGGCCAAATGCACCTGAATTTGATACCCAATACAAAAAAAAAAAAAAAAAAGGAAAAGAAAATTAAGGCTATGGAATATGGAAATAAAAATGGCATCTGTCTGCTGCTGACACAGATAAACAAGAAAATACGAAGAAACAAAAATTTTGCATTCTTAACCAAAAGAAAAAAATGCAAGGATATCTTATCTAGTTTTAGGAAAGAGGAAGGAAAGGAAAGAAGGAAGGAAGGAAGGAAGGAAGGAAGGAAGGAGAAAACTTGACACTCTCCCATAAGCCATTGACTTAATGAAAACAACTCATCTATAGGGTTTTGCAATGGCAATAAACAAAGGTCAGTTATGTCCTTTATGGATAAAATCATGCGAAAAAAACTGTTATTTTTACCTCAAACATACAAATAGAAAGCTAGAAACCTAGAAACCCTGGTAATCTTCTGGGGAGTCTTTTCCTTAAAATACCTTTTGTATTTTTTAATATGAGGAGCCAATTCTTGTAAAACTTGGACTCCTTTGCAAACCTCCCTTGCTAGTAAACTTCTTTTTCTTTTCTAAATGCTTTTGTCTTCTTTGACAGGGCATTCCAGGCAGAGAACCAAATGTACAAGAGGTCTAATCAGAACATGGCATTTTTCAAACTGCAATAATTCCACTTGATTATTTGAAATGCTTACATAAAGAACAAAACAGGAGCAATGAGTTACAGTTAAAAATGTAGAAAATTAAAGGGTTTTTTTGGTATACTTTCTGTTAATAAGAAATATGTGCCTTTTAAAATCAACTGAGTATTTCTTAAAATGAGACTCAAGAGTGATAAACTTTCAAGGGACTTGAAGTTCTGCATGTGAAAATTTTATGTTTTCAACTCCATAGCAATCTAAAAACAATGAAGAGAATCATTTTCTGGATCATCTGGATGACTTCTTTTTAACTGAAGAATGACATTTAATAGTGCCATCCAATCTGCATTTATGTTTAGAATTTTGCTAGTGATTATCAATCACATAAAATGACAACATTTAACCCAAATTTACTAGTAAGCATTCCTATGGCAACTGTAAGACTGGGGTATCCTATTATAAAAATGACAGCAATCCGCCTATCTATTCCATCATCCTCATGTTTAACTCTCTTAGCAGTTACAAGAGTTCTTTTTTGCAGTAACAAGACAACTGAAAATTATATTAGTCTAAGTTATTTAATAAGTTCGTGCTTTAAATGGACGTCCGTGAAAAAGAAATGGTGTAGAATAATAATGTAAACCCCCTCTATTTGATGGAGGTCAGTAGACTACAATAGGGATATAATGCCACAGAAAAGCCAAATAATATCACCCGAAACTGTATGAAAGACTCCTAGCAGTTTCAACAGGAAAAAAAAAAAAAAAAGAACCGATTATTACATAGGACAGGGCAGTACAGATCTGCTAAAATATCTGTGCTATTAAGCAGTACTATATTTACTTTGGAAACAGCAGTTTAAGAAATTTTATTACATACACATAATGTTCTAAATTTAAAACAGGAAAAAGTATTCATTTTATAGTTTTGTTTCTATGTATAAATGTCTTAAATTTTATAGTTATATAAAAGTATCAATGTGTAAACCTAGTTCTTTGATAACTATTCTAACTTAAACATACTGAGAAGATGGGCACCTAAAGACTATAAGTGTTTAGAACATGTCACCTCTTTATTTCTATTTATTCCCCTTCAGGGATCATGTGCTGCAATTCAAATAATTATTTTAAAACAAATTTGATGGCAAAAAGATTATTTTCTCACTAAACACAGTGCTACCTACCTTGACTGCCTATGAGGCCTTCCCTTTCCTGTTCTCAATTTCTTGCAAAATTTTCCTTTCTTTTCAAAATCAATCAGGGTTCATCTGAAATGGAGCCCCTGGATAAGCCATCTCCCTGGATACCTGCACCAAGTATAAATCTGCTCTCTTCCAGTATCCAACGGTACCCCTTTTATGGTATTCATCACATTTTGCCTTATATACAACTGTGTATAGTAATTTTAATTCCCATTTTTTTCTAGGTTTGATGAAAATAGAACTAAGTCCCCATTCGTTTCCTATTAAAGAGTCTACAACATAACATTTTCTCAAATATTAACTGCAACAAAGTAAAACCATTATATATCTACTCATTTAAAAATATACTAGACTAGTATATTCTGACTGAATTATTTATAACAGTTAAGAAATACATTTGCAATCTCTGTTCATAGCAACAAGCTGTCAGGTCTCACACTTGCTAAATTCATCAATTTCTTTCTTTCTTTCTTTCTTTTTTTTTTTTTTGGTACTGGGATTGAACCCAGAAACATTTAACCACTGAGTTGCATCCCCAGCGCCCTTTTTATTATTTTGAGACAGGGTATCACTAAGTTGCTGAGGTTGGCTTTGAACTTTCTATCCTCCTACCTCAGGCTCCTGAATTACTGGGATTATAGGTGTGCATCACTGTGCCCAACTTCATCAATTTCTTTTAAAAGTAAAAAAAAAAAAAAAAAAAAAAAGAATTAGGCTCAATATAGATCGATCTATTTTTTCTTACACTTTTAAACTACAGAGAACCTATAAGGAGGGAAGAGTAGTAGATTTAAGGAATGAGGAGGAGCCAAGCATAGCTTGTGGTTGCTTTGATCAAGATAATGCAGTAATATTTCTTCCCAAAGATTTGCTGCCAATAATTTTGTAATATACAAATACCAAGGCAAATGCATTCAGATGACTGAATATTCATTTCTTAACTGTGCTAGTCAACAATATCAACACATCATTCATATAAGAGATAAAGAATACTTTACTAGTAAATTTAACAACAAAACAAGAAACTAACATCTTGTCTAACATTTACCTAAAAAAAAAAAGCAAGGTGTTGAAAATGTTCTGTTATGATTTAAATACACCAAAAATCAAGGAACTGAATATTCAGGATTCTCAGTTAAGGACACTGTGCTTCAAAACTTCAGAAAATTCCATAGATAAATATTTAAAACATACCTGTCATCCAAAACAATAATGATTTCACCATGTTTAAAGGTGAGTTCATTGTCCTCAACAGCTTCAAAATCGTATAAAGCTCTCACTTTTCGTGCAACCTTATTATTTAACTGAATTTCTGCAGATGGATATAAAGATTTTGTCTCTGGGTGTTGTTGTTTCTGCTCTTGCAAAGATAATTCAATAGCTGGTTTGAAAAATTAAAATGCAAAAAAAGAAAACATAAGATAGCAAGGATTAATTCTGATTTTTAAAAAAGTTTAAAAAGAAATATCAGATAAGATAGTTAACAATAAATCAAATGAATATTTTATTTGCCCAATTAAATGCTAAACAGTTAATTTTCTGTGGGACAGGGAAACACGACATTTTTAAAATAGTTTTTGCTCATTCCTTATTATCACAGTCTGTCATATACAGCAGCTATTATTTTTATAGCAAACAGATTGTGACATTATAATATGGGTAACTTTCCATATAGGACAAACCGTGAACATATTTCTGTGTTTGACTCATAACTTTGGCATTACAGAAAAGGTGAAATGTAATCTCTCCAAAGGTAGGACATTAAATACAAATTACTGAAAAGGAAAATGAATTAAATCCATCCTGTCATTTTTTTCCCCTTTACTTAAGACCCTACTGATTTTTATATTTGAGCTACCTCAACTAAAAGCACACCTAGTTTTATTATAATTTTTATTTCATTAAAATTTTCAGGTGAGGATATTTTAATTGATGCTAAATTATACATGCTTGATCATTTTACCTTTAGCTATGTCTTCATCTTCTTTGTTTTTGTTCAATGATGTTCCATTCTTGGCAGCAGCTGATACAGTCTGTAAATGTATGAGTAAAATGAATGTAAGTATCTTTTTAAAGGAAACACAAGCACTATAATTACTTGCAAATGCTAATTTTAAAAAATACTGATATAACTTGAGTTTCATTTAAAAGTCAAGCACTTTATGACAATTTTAAGTAACTGTTTTCAAATACTAAAACATCAGAGTTTTCAAGAAAAAAATTATAAGTGCACAAAGGGCACAAACTGGCTTACTTTTTTTTTGGTATATAACACACAACTTGGCATGAAGAAAGTACTTAAAAATTTATAGAATGAATAAATGTGAGTCTTTCCTGATTACACTTCCTGATTTCAACTGAGATCTCTTCTTCAATGAGAGGTGCTCTACTGCTATTGGCATAGAGCTACAGAAGAGATACCAACAAGAAGTCATAAATACTGAAGGGGACAGAGAAAACAGGTACAGTTCTAGGAATACATCTGAAGTCCTCTTCAACTAGTTGATGATGGTGGTTTTCCACTATAGCAGAATAAAGAAGGTAATGCTTAAATTTAATGGCATGTAAAGACAGATATCCAGGACTATGAACCACCAATCAGTTTTCTTTTTTCCCAGTGCTAGGCAAGCATTCTACCACTGAGCCACCTCCCCAGTACTATTAACTAGTTCTTTAACACCAATTTTTGAGAACAATATATAGAAAGGGCACAACAGTTGCTTTTTATTACTTATAAGGTATCTGTCTCAAAACTCAACCCTGTATCTTTAGGTCTAAGAGGCTAAACCTAAAGCTGCTTTGTCTCTTAAAATCTAAAACAAAAGAAAATATAGTATTCTCCTCCTTAGTTTCTTTCTCTAGCCCACAGCTTAATATTAACTGGAGGGAAAAAAGACACTGACAGCAAAGCACTCAGACAATGGTTTCCCACAAACTTGAAGAACTAGCCCACTCCATGAGTCATTATTCCTGTCTCCTCTTCCTGCCATCCTACTATTCCCTAGCTCCCCCATGCCAAAATTTCTAATTTTATAGATCCACTTTCCAAAGTTCCAATATAGAGGAAAAACACTGAACAATTAGAATGTCTACTAAATGTAAGGCACTATGTTAGATTGTCACTTCAAGAATGGAGGTGGGAAATGATGATCAAGACATCCCTTGTCTAGGGCTGGGGTTGTGGCTCAGTGTTACAGCACTTGCCTAGCATGCATGAGGTACTGGGTTCAATCTCTAGCAGCACATAAAAAAAAACTAAATAAACAAAATAAAGGTATTGTGTCCATCTACAACTAAAAATATTTTTAAAAATTTTTTAAAAAGACATCTCTTGCCTATAATCTTTCATACAAAATTAATACTTCAAACTAGTATAGGCCAATCATGAATCTGAATGAATCTCTCACCTGAGAACCTGCCGAAGGAAAAGTAATTCCTTCTTCTTTCATAGACTTAATAGTTGCAGATATGAGACTAAACTGGGGATCCTTCTGAAATTCTTCTGACCATTCCACCATTAAAGATTTCAGTTTTTCACATACTTTAGGATGAGCCTTTTAAAGAAGGGGGGAGGGGGTGAAAAACCCACTGTAGTTACAATAAATACCAAAATTATTTAACTAACAGAATTCTCACCAAAATTCTCTTTAATTATATGAACATCAACAAAAATCTGGCAATACCTGGTGTGAATAATTGATAGATGCCTGTTTAGACTGTAAGATAGAGTTGTTCCATGTAAAATCACCTTTCTGGAACATTAATTTCTAAGTCTTGGATGACTAATAAGTCCCTCATATTCCAAGGCTATACCCTCTATGTTTCTTCAACATTCTCTATATTACATTATGATTTTTATATCAACTTGACTAAATTTCTGGGATTTTTACCACTAAAAACATGAGAATGGTGCTTCTAAGTGTCTGTCTCAAAGAAATTGGTAACAACCTTATGAGGGCCCCCTCCACTCTGCTCTAAGATTAAGATCCCCTTTGCTCACCAATGCTGATGGGAGTCAACATAGAATGGTAGTTAGAGGTAGGAATCTAGAGTCACAGAAACCTAGATCTAAATCTTGGCTTGCCACTTAATAGCTGCATGACCATAGAAAGTTACTTCCCTTTAAGCCTCAGTTTCTGCATGTATAAAACTGTAAAAATAGAATCTAACTTCCAAAAGTGGTGAGGAACATTAAACAAGACACACTATCCAAAATGGTTAAAGCAGTGACTACTTACTAGATCTCAAAGATTAGCTAAATTAACAACATAAATTCCTTAGGGAGAAAAAAGATTTTAGTGCTATAAATTTTTTTTAAATCAAATTTCTAACAAGAAGCTTCTTTTCAATTTATCTAAAATATTTATTTAAATTTATAATACATTATTATATCTAATTAAAATAATGAACATATATATTTTTAATGACTTAAATCTCTTCTCTTTTTAAAATTTACCTTATTTTTTATCACAGCACGTACTTCTGTTGCAAAATCACGGGAACACACTTCTAAATGAAATATCTTTCCACAGTTTGCCACACAAGCCCCAAGAAGCTATTAATTAAAATAAAAATTCATATATAAATGTTGAAATATTATTTTCCTTATTGAAATAAACGTCATTTTCATAATTTAGTCAAATAACATGATTTTTACTCACAGTTAATGCCTGCAGAGCAACATGAGGAACCTTATGATTTACCCTTTTCATGATGGCTTTTAGGCAATCCTTTGCTCTAAGAAAAAAATGGAGAAAGTATTTTTTGACAATTTTAACTCCAACATTAAAAAATATAAGAAATTTTCAAGCAAATAACTTTACTTTACTTTGTTAAGGAATAAGTCTATAAATTTATGATTTTACACAATCTTTTGCTAACAAACTTGTAGATCTTAAAAAAAAAATTGTTGTAAACATTATATAGCCCCAAATCAAGAGACAAATCATTCCACAAAATGTCAGTCAACACAAGAGAACCATATCATACTAATTCTCTCTTCATTTCTTCAAGACAAAGAGCTTTCAGACAGCAAGTTCTTCTCTTGAAAAGAATTAGTACAATGTACATTCTTTTTTTTTTTAAGAGAGAGAGAGAGAGAGAGAGAGAGAGAGAATTTTAATATTTATATTTTAGTTTTCGGCGGACACAACATCTTTGTTTGTATGTGGTGCTGAGGATCGAACCCGGGCTGCACGCATGCCAGGCGAGCGCGCTACCGCTTGAGCCACATCCCCAGTGCCAATGTACATTCTTAAAAGGTTCACATGAAAAAGCTGAATATTGTTGTCAGGCACAGTGGTGTACACCTGGAATTTACTCAGAAGGCAGAAAGATCATAAATTTGTAGCCAGATGAGCAACTTGGTTAAGACCCTGTCCTAAAATATAATTTAAAAAGGGCTGGGGGAGTAGCTTAGCATTACAGCACTTTCTAGTATATGTGAGGCCTCAGTACTGCAAAAAAGAAAAAAAAAATTAAAAGAGTTTAATGTTAAAAAAAATGCTTTCACAATTTCTACACTTTTAGTGTATAATCAGCTGTGCATAATTACCATACCTTCCTGAAAAGCACTCTAAATTTTGGAGTTTTTTTGGTACTGGGGAACTGAACCCAGGGGTGTTTTGCCACCAAGTTACATCCCCAGTCCTTCTTATTTTTTATTTTGAGGCAGAGTCCCCCTAGATTACTGAGAGTCTTGCTAAATTGCTGAGGCTGGGATCAAACTTGCAATCCTCCTGCCTCAGTCTTTTGAATCACTAGGATTACAAGCGTGGGCTACCACGCCCAGCAGCATTCTTTTCTTACATTCACCTTTTTCATCAAAAGACCTATTTACCTTTTTACTATGGAAAGACTCTCATATATGTCTAAGTATAGGGAAATTCCCCCAGTAACTAATCTATTCATTTTTATAACATGTGTCCCTATTGTGTCAAACCTTTAATTACCTATGCCAACATAGCTCAAGTTTTCAGTTGAACTCTTTTCCATTTGCTCTTTCAGGATAAGGTTAATCTCATAAACCCAGCTTACTGGCTCTCTCTACTTTATCTTTCAAAATTAAACAGTTTCAATAACAGTTAAGTTAAATAATTTTGTTAAAACTAAAACCTCGATTCACTTTCAAAGTTGCATCATGAAGATACACAGGTTAATTAAGCTCCTAAATGTTTACTGAGTATCTTACCCATTAGGAGTGGTTCCAACTTTGTCACATATGTCCATAATAAGACTCCAATCTTCCGTGGTGTTGTACTCATTTGTGGCTTTTTCTAAGATATATTAACATACATGATAATTAGTGTATAATTTTGTGTTACAAAACACTAAAAACCAATAAAGGCACAATAGTTAAGAAGCCCTACCTCTTCTCTTGCCAAGAAAAAAAAAACTACAGAAAAATTTCAGAAGATAGAGTACTTCTACTAACTTCAATTTTAGAATTATATAATTAAATATTCTCAGGTATGGTATATTTTACTGATAGTAAAATGCCTCCTAAACAACTAAATAAATTATGCATCATCAATATTCCTGTCAAATTCTAAATTGGGAGAAAGCTTTAAAAATGTATCATCATAAGGAAATATTTATTAAACTGTTCACTGAATCATTTTCAATAGCAAAACAAAACAGATTAATGAAATACAGTAAAGTCATGCAATGGAATGTAAAAATGATATGCAAAATGAAATGTGCAAAAATGCATGAATATCACAATACAATGATTTGCTTGGGCTCATAATAAGTAGCATTAGCTTATAATGAGAAGTCAAAAAAAGTTAATCACTGAAGAATTTCTAACATTCACATGAACTTTTAAAAACAGCTTTAACTCACATACCAATACAATCCAAACATTTAAAGTGTACAGTTCAATGTTTTCAGTACACAGATTTGTGCAACCATCACTAATAATTATAAAACATTTCATCACCTCCCCCCAAAAAAATCTGCACCCACTGGCAGTCAGTGTTCATTCTCTTCCATATCAACTTTCCGTCCCTACACATTCACCTATTTGGGACTTTTCACATGAAGAAAATTATGTATCGGGGGCTTGGGATATAGCTCAGTTGGCAGAATGCTCGCATCACATGCACAAGGCCATGGGTTCAATCCCCAGCACCACAAAGAAAAAGAAAAGAAAACCATGTATCATGTATCTTCTTGTGTAACAGGCTTGTTTTATAGCATATTTTCAAAGTTCATACATGTTGTATCATGTATCAATATTTCTTTTATTGCTGCATAATATTCCATTGAATAGATACAGCACATTTTATTCATCCAATCAACAGTTTATGAACACCTTGGTTTGCTTTTTCTTTTAAACTTTTTGGCTAATATAAATAAATAATACTGCTGCTATGAACATTCATGTATAAGTTCTTGTGTGGGCATATGTTCCATTCTCTTTGACACAGCCCTGCTGGGTCATATGGTTAATTATTTAATTTTTTAAGGATATGGCAAATGGTTTTTCAAAGTATCTATAATATTTTACATTACCAGAAGTATAAGTAATATATGAATATTTTCCCTAAAGTTTTAAAATATTCAAAACATTTATATTTTTATTTGGTGGTGGTGGGGGGGGGGGTAATTGGGAATTGAACCCAGAGGCACTCTATCAATGAGCTATATCCAAAGACCTTTTTATTTTTTATTTTGAGTCAGGGTCTCACTAAACTGTTGAGGCTAGCCTCAAACTTGTGGTCCTCCTGCCTCAGCCTCCAAGCTGCTGGGATTACCAGTATGTGCCACCACACCAGATATACCCTGCATTTTTACAGAAACACACAAAGATAGTTAAAAGAGTAAACATGCATAAGAATGCTAAACATTAAACTAGAGGGGGGATCAAAAATAGATTACACAGTGGCTTCTGTATATTAATTTGACAGTGTACATCTAGAAGTTCTTTATTTTGTTCTCAAAATCTTTTTTGTAGTGTGATACATTTCACGATCAAAGTAAAAATTAAACAGCAAACTGTTAAAAAAATGATTAGAATATGACTGAATCATTGTATTTTCACTGTACTGAATCTTATAAAATTTCAATATGAATTCATGCAATTATTTTGGATAATGATATTAAAAAGTAGCCAGGCCCAGCGGCATATAGGTTGCAATCCCAATGTCATGAAAGGCTGAGGCAGGAGGATCACAAGTTTGAGGCTAGTCTCTACAACTTAGTGAAACCCTCAAAAAAATAAATAAATAACAAGGCTAAGAATATAAATATAGCTCAGTGGTAGAGCATCACCGGGTTCAACCTCCAATACCAAAAAGCAAACAACAATTAAGAGATATACAGACACAGACACATATATATGGTAACACCCTAAAGAATTTTATGTGCTGGGAGTATAGAGGTGCACCTGAGGCCCTGGGTTCCATCCCAGCACTACAAAGAAAAAAAATAATATATATATGCATTTTCCCCTCTAAACTAATATATCCTGTAATTTCAAACACAGTAAAACCTACACACACACACACACACACACACACACACACAAATACATAGGAAGAATATATGAATCCAGAATAATGTTCTTTTTTATGGCAAGGAAAAATTTTTTTATTAGAGCTTTATAGTTATACATAGTAGCTGGGTTCATCCTGACAAATTCATATATGCACTAAATTTGATTTCAGTTCATGATCCCACTGTTTCTTTTCCCTCCCTTCTCCCATTCTCCTTCCTCTACTCTACTAGACGCCCTTTCACTTGTCTATTAATTTATATTTGATTGGTTCTTTCTACCTATGCATAAAAGTGAAGTTCCCTGTGGTATATTTATATATATACACATGATTTTTAAAGAATTCATTCTGCGGGCTGGGGAGGTGGCTCAAGCGGTAGCTCGCTCGCCTGGCATGCGTGCGGCCCGGGTTCGATCCTCAGCACCACATACAAACAAAGATGTTGTGTCCGCCGAAAAACTAAAAAATAAATATTAAAAAATTCTCTCTCTCTCAAAAAAAAAAAAAAAAAAAAAGAATTCATTCTGCATTGCTTCCCCTCTGCTCTGCCTTTCCATCTCCCCCTTCTACAATATTGATCTTCCCTTTGTTATCCTATTCTTCCCTCCCCCCCACTTTATTTTACTCTAGCTTCCGCATATGAAAGAAAACATTTGACCCTTGAGTTTAGTTTTTAGCTTGGCTTACTTCACTAAGCATGTTATTCTCCATTTCCATCCATTTACCAACAAATGCCATAATTTCACTTTTTATGGCTAAGTAGAAACTATACACACATACACACACATCACCATTTCTTAATCCATTTATCTACTGATGGACATCTGAGTTGATTCCATAATTTAGCTATTGTGAATTGTGCTGCTATAAACATTGAAGTGGCTGTATTGCTACAGTATGCCAATTTTAGATCATTTGGGAAAATATCAAGGAGTGGGATGGCTGGGTCATATGGTGGTTCCATCCCCAATTTTTTTTTTTTTTAAATCAAGTCTTGCCATTTCTTTTAAGATTTTTTTTTTTTTTAGTTGTAGATGGGCACAATATCTTCATTTTATTTATTTATGTGGTGCTAAGGATCAAACTCAGTGCCTCACGCATGTAAGACAAGTGGCTCTACCACTGAGCCACAACCCCAGTCCCCAGCCCTAGTTTTTTGAGGAATTTTCATACTGCTTTCCAGAGTGGTTGTATTAGTCCATCATCCCATCAAGTATACCTTTTCCCCCACAACCTCATCAGCATTTATTATTGTTTATGTTCTTTATCAATGCCATTCAGACTGGAGTGAGATGAAATCTTAAGCATAGCTTTGATTTGCATTTCCCTGATTACTAGAGATGTTGAATATTTTTTCATATATTTGATGGCCATTTGTGTTTCTTCTTTTGAGAAGTTTCTGTTTAATTTTTTGCCCATTTATTGATTGGGTTATATATATTTTGGTGTTAAGTTTTTTGAGTTCTTTTTATAACGAATATCAATCCCCTATTGGAGGAGTAGCTGGCCAAGATTTTCTTCCATTCTGTAAGCTCTCTCTTCATGCTCTTAATTGTTTTCCTTGCTGTGCAGAAGTTTTTTAGCTTGATGGTATCTCACTTATTAATTCCTGGTTTTATTTGTGCTTTGGGGGTCTTGTTAAGGAAGTCGGTGCCAACACATATAAGGGAGTGTTGAACTTATGATTTCTTCTAGCACTTGTAAGGTTTCTGGTCTAATTCCTAAGTCTTCTATCCATTTCAATTTGAGTTTTGTGCAGGGTGACAGATAGGGATCTACTTTCATTTTTCTACATATTGGTATCCAATTTTAAAAAGAAAAAGAAGCTTAGAGAAGAGCTCTATTTTCCAAGAAGGAAAGAGAAATCAGTTAACTTCAGTTAAATGTTGGAACTCACTTTTTAAAAAACCATGCAAATGGCCTAACACTATGGACAGAATGCAAAAACACATATTATTTTAACATGATGAAATGGCAAATCCATAATATTGGAAAAGTAATATATTCTTGCCTCTTTTAAGTTTTAGACCCAAGTACCAATTATGAAGGGTAGAAGAATATCAGGTCCAGCTTATGTCCTGTAAAGAGAAGAATTCTACATGGAAAATCAGACCTGATTATATTTTTTAAAGGTTTTAAATGCTTCCCCACCCCACCCCACTCCCCTGTACTGAGGATTGAACTAGAGGTGTTTTTCTACTAAGCTACTACATTCCCAGCCCTTTTTATTTTATTTTGGCATAGGTCAAAGTTTCCCATACTGGCCTGGAACTTGCAATCCTCTTGCCTCAATCTCCTGAGTAGCTGAGAATACAGGAATATGGCACTGTATCCATCTTAATTATGTCTTAATTACATATTTTATGAATTCAAAAAAATAAGAAAAAAACATCAACCAGTCCCTTTTAAAATCATGATATATCTTTGTAGACTTCCTTTTTTTTGGAGGGGGGGGGCGGTGCCAGGATTTGAACCCAGGGTCTTATGCATGCAAGGCAAGCACTTTGCCAACTGAGCTATATCCCCAGCCCTCTTTGTAGACTTTTTTCTATACATGTAGATAACAAATAACCCTTTCCTGGTTAAATTATGAACAAGATGAGAAACAAAAGAAATAATAAAATATCAGGAGTCAACCAAGCAAATAGACTTGCTACTGTGAACCACAGAAATGGGCATGCCTTAGCACCAGACAGGGGCAAGCCTCTCCCTACAGGGGAAAGCCTCTGCAAAAACTCATCCAAAGAGAAGTAAATGCATAATCACTCAATGGAGAT